AATAGAATAGAATAGAATAGAATAGAATAGAATAGAATAGAATAGAATAACAGAGTTGGAAGGGACCTTGGAGGTCTTCTAGTCCAACCCTCTGCTTAGGCAGGAAACCCTACACCACTTCAGACAAATGGTTATCCAATCTCTTCTTAAAAACTTCCAATGTTGGAGCATTCGCAACTTCTAGAGGCAAGTTGTTCCACTGATTAATTGTTCTAACCCTCAGGAAATTCCTCCTTAGTTCTAGGTTGCTTCTCTCCTTGATTAGTTTCCACCCATTGCTTCTTGTCCTGCCCGCAGGTGCTTTGGAGAATAGCTTGACTCCCTCTTCTTTGGGGGAGCCCCTGAGATACTGAAAGACTGCTACCATGTCACCCCTACTCCTTCTTTTCATCAGACTAGACATACCCAATTCCTGCAATCATTCTTTATATGTTTTAGCCTCCAGTCCTCTCATCATCTTTGTTGCTCTTCTGTGCACTCTTTCTAGAGTCTCAACATCTTTTTCACATCCTTAGACCTGGAAGAATCCAAAGACTGATTCACCTTCTTTGCGTCATAAGCTGGCCTCTTAAGTTTTGTCCTAGCCTGAAGCCATTTTCATCAATTTGGGATTTTTCTCTCTCTTTGCAGAGTTATGTCATGCCCAGACCACTGCAGGGATCCATGAGGATTTATAGAAGATGTCCTGGATCTTGGGGCCTTTGGTGCTCTTGTTGGTATGGTTAATGAAGATCGCTGCCAGCCCCCATTCGCTGAGGATTGGTAAGTAAGGACCATATGCCACCCTGCTGTGTGAATCCTATGTTTCATCCTGGCTATTTTAATTCCCTGAAAAAGCAAATTGCAATAATTGGAACAGATTTGGATCAAAATGACTATAATTGGAACCACACTGGTCCAGTGTGTTTGATGAGCTGCCGGTCCAGCCAGCCTTCCAAAAATGCAGTGTGGTACTTCTCATTATGAAAAACCATCCTTCTGGGCTTGCCTTGCCTGGCCCAGGGGGTTTGGATGCAGTACATAAAAATATATTTTTCTCGAATGAAATTAATGAGAATTTAAGAGGACAGGATTGTCCCAGGAATGTGGAATTTGGTTTGGTTACATGTCTGTTGATTATCAGCAATAGTGGATGAGTGGTGTCACAATTAATTAGAGGTTGGTTTCAAATCTGCATTAATTTTAAAAGCAAATGAGGAAGTAAACGAACAATGCCATTTGTTTATTCTTTAGGTTACAGGCATCAATTAATGGGAATTTGTTCAAGCATCGGTTCACCGTTGTTTTTTTTAACAACTTTGTAAACAAGTGTTGCTTTGCCTTAAAGATATACATCAGACCACGCTGGTATTCATGGGAAAGCTGTTTGAAAAAAGACAGTAGCCCAATTCTATTTTATTCTATTTTTCTTGTAACCTCGCCTTTCTAGTAAATGCAAGCTCTTTATCCTTTCTGGAATTCAGCAGGCCAAATTAGCAGGATGCAATTTTGGGCAATTTTTCTGCAAGTTTGCAAGTAGCAAAAGGTTATCCGAGTGTTTGACTAAAATAAAAGGGAAGGTAGAATGAATAAACTGCATTGAGATGAGAAATTTTCATGAGGAGAATGTGGCATTCTTTATTCTGTGAAGAGATAATCCAGAAGTATCTGCAAAGGTCTTGTTTTCATTGTATAATCCTTTCTCCAGCCTTTGTAGCTTTTGTGGTTTCTGCTGTCATTTATGTAAAGAAATCATACCTCATATTTTAGTAGTTCTTTATTTCTATTTTCACTAAAGGAGAATTCAGTCCTGGAGACACTGAGAGAAAGTATCTCCCCCCCACCCCCCAGAAGTTCTTGGAGTGTGTCCTTAATTATACAAGTAATTTCTTTAGTTTGGCAAGATTCTGTCTGCAGGTGAGAAATAATAAAGGAGATTGCTTTGGAGAAATTCAGCGTGAATTTCTTGGTTTGGGGGGAACCTGACAATTCAGTTCCAATTAGTAAAAAAAGAAAATTGTTTAAAACTACACAAACAAACAACCTAACCTGAAAGCAAAAAATGTAACAAGAACTGACCATCTTACACGGTATTGATTTAGGAGAACTGAATATTCAACTATACTTCGAACATTCCTACAAGGATGCCTTTGTAATCAGGAAAAGGCAGATATTCACCCAGTCCTTCTGTGTCTCCATAGAATGCACTCTTACATGAAGTCATGGTGGGGGACTATCTAAAGATCTCCTCTTCATAATTTTCTGCATCCCTACTAAGATCCTTTTTAGGAAGGCCATGGTGTTAGTTCAAAGAGAGAAATCTCGGCGTGCTGCTGAGAGGAGCAATTATAACCTTGCAAAATATTCTTGCTTGCGGCAGGCACATCTTTCCTTTCTAAACTATAAATCAAAAGTGAGTGCATGCTTTCTGCTAAATCCACATCAGGATTATGTTTCCATGGAGTGGCTACGGTTAGTCACAAAGTCACCCTGAAGTTTAGATTGGATTTGGCACTTTGATCTACCTATCCAGTCCTTCCGAAGCAACCTGGCATGTGCAGATGGTGATATTGGATGGATGGTGTTAAAAGGTCTCATCACGGGATGGAAGCTGTTCCCAGTGAAGCTGCCTTTTGCCATTGACTGGTGGTGATTTTGTCAATGCCGATGATATTTAAGTGGTGCTGAATCCAGTTGTGGTTGCCACGATATAAAAATATTGTTGAGATTCGAGAAAGAGGGCAGATAAGAGCAACCAAGATGATTAGGGGACTGGAGGCTAAAACATATCAAGAACGGTTGCTGGAATTGGGTTATGTCTAGTTTAATGAAAAGGACTAGAGGTGACATGGTAGCGGTCTTTCAATATCTAAGGGGTTGACCCAGAAAAGAGGGAGTCAAGCTATTCTCCAAAGCACCTGAAGGCCGGACAACAAACAACGGATAGAAACTAGTCAAGGAGAGAAGCAACTTAGAACTAAGGAGAAATTTCCTGACAATTAGATCAATTAATCAGTGGAACAACTTGCCTCCGGAAGTTGTAAATGCTCCAACACTGGAAGTTTTTAAGAAGAGACTGGACAGCCACTTGTCTGAAATGGTACATAGGATATCCTGCCTAAACAGAGAGTTGGACTTGAAGACCAACTCTGTTATTCCAGTTGTTTTGGGATTGCACTGTTATTATTGTTCATTGTACAGTCAGCCAGATTAGTGTGATGGCCCAGAGTGTAACACAAATGTAACAAAATCCAAAACGTAAATAAATGTCCTCTAATGCCTCCAACTTGGCTCCACTGTTCAATAATTCTCAGTTGGAGATAAAACGTACTCATAGTCTTCCAAAGAAAGCAATACAGTCTAAATTTAATGAGCAGATAGAGGTGAAATAAAAACCCAAACAAACTACAATGATGAAATTTCCACAACGGAACAGGAGAAGTATTTACCAAATTCAAAGAGATAACAAGGCAGTCTGTTGGAAGGACGCCAACCAAGATAACTTCAGACCAAAATAAAACTCGCTTTGTTTCCAGCGTTTGCCAGTATGCAGGTCCAAACTCTTACTCAGTTCTGACACCTGCAGCCTATGAAGAGGATCAAGGCTCTCTCCTCCCAAGGAGACCACGTCTCTCCCTTATGCTCTCCTCCATGCATGCCCTAGCAGATGGAGACGGGATGGGCCTGGGTCCTCCTCTGACTTCTCAGCCGGCCTCTGCCCTTCCCCAGCCTCCTCCACAACCTCCGGAGCCACACTTCCACTCCCTGTCGGCTGTTCCTCCTCTCCCTCAGAATCAGTCTCCACCAGGGGCATGACAATTATTTATTGATTGATTTGATTTGATTTGTCAATCGCTTACAAGATAATAGGTATAAGTATATACATAGTTAAGAATACATGAAATTGATATGAATAAAAAAGAAACAATAGGACAGGGGCGGTAGGCACATTGGTGTGCTTATGCACACACCCCTACAGACCTCTTAGGAAAGGGGTGAGGTCAATAGTAGACAGTCTAAGGTTAAAGTTTTTGGGGTTTGGGGAAGAAACCACAGAGTCAGGTAGAGTATTCCAGACATTGACCACTCTGTTGCTGAAGTCATATTTCCTGCAATCAAGTTTGGTGTGGTTTACCTTGAGTTTGTATCTATTGTGTGCTCTTCTGTTGTTATGGTTGAAGCTGAAGTATTCATTGACAGGTAGGACATTGCAATGTATGATTTTATATACCATACTTAGATCAGACCGAAGACAGCATAATTCAAGGTTTTCGAGGCCTAGAATTTCAAGTCTGGTGGCATAAGCTATTCTGCAATAAGTAGAAGAGTGGAGAACTCTTGGGAAATATTTCTGGACTTTCTCAACTGTGTTAATATCAGATACGTAATGTGGGTTCCAGACTGATGAGCTGTATTCGAGTATTGGTCTAGCAAATGTTTTATATGCTCTAGTTAGTAGTGTGATATTACCAGAGACAAAGCTATTAACAAACTTACGACCACAATTGAGACTTCTTTAGCATGATGAAGGCTAAAGTTTAAAAGCTTGGTTTGAAAGTGCAAGACATCACATTTCCCCACCTCTCCCATTTCATGGCGGGGGAGTTTAGCTTCTGTTGAGAGACGCCATTGTTGAGCTGTGGTTAAGGCACCGGTGCTGTTAAATTTGACAAGCTGGGTTGTTTTCTGGCTGTAACTGAGGTTTTCTTCCTTCCATGTTTTCAGTGCTCCAGAATAAAGGGAAGTATTAGCCATCCAAATTTTCCCCATCACTTCCTCACTGCTGTAACTTTGGAGAGAATGTAGCTTTCGTCGAACAATTAAAGATGCAAAACCCCTCCTTAAAAGAACAGAGGCAAAACTTAATTGGATTAAAACAACGAAATACATGTTTGAAAAGTATTCATGCTGATCAGCTAGGATGAAAAAAATAATAATGTATAGACAGCTCAGAGATAATTGCTGCCTTTTCTATTTTCAAAGGGAAAGTCAAACCGCATCGCATCATTCTCTAGTCATGACTCTGAGAAAGCTGAATAATGGACTTAATTAGTCCATCAGCAATGGTTTCTGCCACTCCCGCTGAAAAAATGGAACTGCCTTATGCTTAATCTGGGTTCATTGTTGCTATTTGGTTCATAACTTAAGATGAATTGTTTTTCATGCTTCTCAACATCCTTCCTTCCTTCCTTCCTTCCTTCCTTCCTTCCTTCCTTCCTTCCTTCCTTCCTTCCTTCCTTCCTTCCTTCCTTCCTTCCTTCCTTCCTTCCTTCCTCACTGTTTTCCTTCCTACAGAAAATGAACTTTTTACAGAAAATGAGAGCTGAATATCAATTCCCTTATCTGAGCCAATTTGCGAAGCAGTGAAAGAATTAAGACAGTTAAATAGGGGGTGGGGGAAAAACCTTACTTGGTGGTGGTGAAACTGTGTTTAAATGACTGAAATTATCTCTGGATTACCTTTTTAGACACTGCTTTATTTAATCAACTCAAGGCTTAATCTGCCGCAAGCATTTCCTACCGAAAAAGGACCCCAAGGGAGAGAAAAATTATTGGGATGTCTTTTTCCTCTCAGGAAAGCCTGGGCATTATGACCCTTTGCCATTTTAAAGCCACGTTCTTTGCAGTTTCAAGAAACGTGGCTGCTTGGAAGGCCGCAGGGAGAAATGTTGTTGAGAGTCAGAAGAGCGAATCTGATTTGCGTAAACTGAACACCGCGAACGTAATTTACACAAAGTAGACCCTTGTGGTGGTGGGTGGCTTCAAAGAACAGCAGCATATGG